TATAACTTTGTAAAGAAAGGTCGCCTAGAGGTGGGAGATGTCTCATTTCAGCCAATTTCGAGTCCATAACCAGAGGCGAGGGTTGACACGATGCCTCGCTAGTTTTACCAGCAAAGCATCGTGCCAATACCGAAGAAGTGCTCATAGCTTGGAAACAAAAATCTAGAAATCACGACACCTAGAAACAGAGAAATCTGGCGATCAAGAAATCTAAAAACCAAGATATCGAGAAATACAGAAAGCAACGAATCTGGAAACGTAGATCTGGAAAGCCAGAAATGTAGAAGTGGAGAAATCTATTATTCAAGAAATCTTGAAAGGTAAAATCTAGAAGTACATAAATCTATTAATCAAGAAATGCAAAAACCAAGATATGCAGAAATCCAGAAATGTTAAAACCAAGAAATCAAGAAATTCAGAAAGCAAGGAATCTGGAGTCGAAGAAATCTGAAAACCGAGAAACGTGCAAATCCAAAATACTGGAAATCAAGATATCGACAATTAGACTCATGAAGCCCCTTGGAGTCTCTTCGAGTCCGTTGGAGTCTTGTGAAATTCTTGTTAGGTCTTCAAAAGTTGGTTATAGAATTTTAATGCTGTTAATTTTTTTTGAACTAAAAACGACAATCTTGCCGTTAAGCATGACGAACGATAGATTTCGAATGTTTATTTTCGTACAAAAAGAGTAAAAGAGTTCGAATTTTTCGAAAACTTTTTCAAAAACCAACGGTGCAACCCAGGACCGGTTTCGACCTTGCTCAAGGATCTCTTCAGCTGGGTTATGGTGTGAAAAAAAACATAAACTACAAGTCTGTCTAATGCTGACTTTGCTGGTAAGAACTAAAGACTTCAATTTTGTCTCGTTTGACTGCTAGAATGTTCTCGAGTGTCTCACTCTCACCCCTCGCCACCACTCTGTTGTTCAGGTTTTTGCACTCTTCTAGGGAGATTCTTGGGTGGAGGAACATCGATCGACTAAAAGCCGGGCGAGCGTGGCACCAGTTCGATTGGAAAAACAAGATTTCGACTTTAACCCCACGTTACGGCGAATACTCAGAAGTTTTCTTTCTCCTTTTTGTCTTGTCAGCTGAGTGCAAGGTTCTTGTTCAAGCAGAATGTGCGTTTTTTCCGACAAAAACAGGCTAACAAGCCCTTTATTTTCTCCGTTTTCGATAGAGGGAATAAAAAGTTCCTTCTTATTCAAAAAGCGATATACACACAGACATGTGCTTTATTTTCTTCTTCAATAAGAAGAGCATAACTTCTTATTTAAACAAGATAAGCTGTTACTATTCGACTAACAAGACACGTAAGTACGTGCATTCATTTTCTCCTCGATGTTTCCCACCATAACCCAGCTGAAGCGACCCTTGAGCAAGATCGAAAGCGGGCCTGGGTTGCTCCGTTCGTTTTTGAAAAAGTTTTCGCTAAATTCGAACTCTTTTACTCTTTTTGTACGAAAACAAACATTCGAAATCTTTCGTTCGTCATGCGTAACGGCAAGATTGTCGCTTTTAGTTCGAAAATATTAACATTATCATACTAGTATGTCTTGATTTTTTCTATCAATTGTGGCATCAGATGGAATAAATATTAGCCTCGATTTTGAGACGAATGTACATCATCTTTCTCTTTTTGTATTCATTTATACTAAAGCTTTGAAATAAGGAAGATGCCGGTTTTTTTGATAATAAAATCAAACAAAGTGTTACACGAAGAAAAAACCTTTACTTATTCTTCTTTATTACTCTGCGTTACTCGAAGTAACCGATCGTTTGAAAGTTTACTTTTTTCGCCCGTTAATAACCAACAAGCAGTCTGTTTATATATATATTTTGTAGCATGATTAGTTGTAACTTTAAAATAAGAATGTTCCATATGAGATTTGACTGTATTGAAGACTTTTATTCCAATGAAGTTTTGTTCTGTGGTATTTACTAAATCTTGAGTATCGTCTTCATCAGAATAATCATCATTAGAGGAAAAACTATCATTATTTTCAACATCCATGTTAGGATTATTTGTTGATTCGCCATCCTCATCGTCAGCTATTTCAAACTCTCCATCATCTATATTGTTAAGTTGAGATGAGTAGTCGTACATCTTTGAATTTGAATTTAACTGTTTAAACACATATTCACTTAATCATTTTAAGCCCAGAACACGGTTTTTTTCCAACAAATTCAATATTTCTAAACCATCAAGCATGTCAATAGCTTTATGGTAAGCATCGGTAATAACTTATTCGATATGTATTTGATCAATCTCAGTTTGACTTTGTGTTAATAATGATTGAGGATCATTTCGATGTTTATAATGAACTGGAAAGACCAAATTATTGACTGATTCATCATTTAACTGTTTAGATTTAATGTCATTCAGTTATGATAATCTCTGGGCACGTCGTAAAAAATCATGTACTGCGAAGTTGATAATAGTTGAATAGATTCCACTTAACCCTTTCCAGCCCGATGTTGCCATTTGGCAACATTGGCTCAGTATTGTCCGTGGTAATTTCTTCTTAGTGATGTTGCATAATCGCTGGACAATACGATAATTACTGGTTAACATTGCTGCACGTATTCATGCATTCATAAGACGAAAAAACAGTTTCTTTTGAAAATTTATATGGGTTGAATTGACATGCCCTGAAGTGAGATCTAAATAAAAAAATTGAATTTTCTATTTACCTAATTATAATGTACGAAAGTTGAATAGCGGTAAATATTCCTTGCTTAGAGCCAATGTTTAATGTAACACAAAGGCAGGTCCTCACTTATGTCTAATCAATTGAAAATGTGGATGTTGCCATTTGGTAACTCCCGGCCGCAATGGGTAAAAATGGGTGTTCGTCTAGAAACATATAAAATGCGTTGTTTCTCACTTGAGATTAGAATAAAAATGTCTGTGAAGTACTAATCACTCAAAAATATTGACAGCTGTTGACACAATTGGGGCTACAGTGTTGAAGAAAACGACTTCACAAGGCACTATTGATGCTGACGCCATCTATTTTACAATATTGTTATTGGTAAAGAACCAACCATCTCATCGTCCGAGTCTAGCAACGATCTGCCAAAGAACTGTCAATAATGATACATGTTATCTCCATAGGATGGACAGATCTTAAATATTGAGATTATTGAAAATTCTAAATTCTCGATCATATTCGTCATCTAATTCTCAGAAAAAATATCGTGAGTTGCATGTTTCTCAGTATTTGACAATTGATTTTAAAGCTTGATCACAGAT